AATAAAAGAGCATTCATGCAAGAAAACTAGCCCTGTGCTTGCATTTGAAAACAGGAAACACCCAAAGGTATCACGGTAAGACTTCACCCATAAAAACGCGAAAAACGAGAAGTTGGAACCATTGCTTCGCTCCGACCGCCTCTTTTTGATGGCGGCAACACACCAACATCATAAATTCAGCTTATCCTTAATTCATCTTGAATGGTGTTGACTTGTATGTAGTTGACTTGAATCATCATCAAAATCATCTCTTGGGAATGTAGGGACATTTCCATCAATCTCCCCCTCATTGCTTTCAAAGAAATCACTTTGATATACAAATTATTAGTGAGTATTCAATATTAATTTCTCCCCCTTTTGACTTCATCAAAAATAGGGAAAGAGGAGATTTGGAACAAATATTCGCACAATAATAGAAAGGTCAAACCAAATAGGAAAATAAATTGATGTAAATCACATTGAATCGATTAAAATATAGTTGATAGAAGTGCAATGCAAAAATAAATAGCTTTTAATTGATTAATTCGTAAAATAATCGATTAAAATAGTACAAATATTGTATTTAAAATGAATTTAATCGATGAAAACAATTTTATATCAATTAAAATGATCAGAATATGTGAATTATGTAATGTTTGATGCATCTAGAATTCCTAATTTAGTTCTGATAAAAAAATATTTGCATGATATTAAGAGAGGTTCAAAGTGTAACCTGGTCTAAAACCATTTAATATCACAAACCCGAAAGAGAAATGAAAAATAGAAAAGAAAAAGAAATAAATTGGACCTTTTTTAATCATGCCAGTTTCCTTTATTAGCTGCATGTCTTCCATTTTGGTATAAAGATCAGAAATTTGATTCCCAAGGTTGAAGAATTGATCATTGGTTTGTTGGAAGTGTTTGTAAGTCATCTGCATATGCCTGCGCTGGTTTTCTTGCAGTGTTGCCATTTGTGAGAGCATGGTTTGTTCAAATTGGGAAAGAGGAGTCTCACAGTTAGGTTGAGCATATAAGGGTATGATCTCCGTGTTCTCATAAGAAGGATGATGTTCAGGTGATTGAGGAACCTCAACAGCTGGAGAAGAAGGAATCTCACCTTGGTCAGGTTTTTCTTCATCCTCTGACATCCCAGCTTCAACCTTTGAAATCCAGTCTCCATCAATTTTGATGAATCCCATTTTCCTTAGAGTAGAGTAATCAATTTCATTGGATGCCTTTGGAGTCTCTACATATTCTCCTGCAAGATCCACTGCAAAATATCTAAAAAATTCATTAATTAACATAACATTTGACAATTTGTAATTATCCAGCCTTTTTGCTTTAATCATGTGATCCTTGATGACATAAATCCAATTGACACGAATACTATTTGATATACAATACATGAGTGCCAAATCTCCTTCATTGAGCCAGGCGTGATTGCTCCCCCTTGGTGTGAGCATCCATGCAATAATGAAAGCAAGAATTCTTTGTTCAAGTCTCATTTTGCCAGCATTCAGAATTTTGACCGAGTCATTGTAGTCTTTGAGGCAAGAACGAAAAAATTGGATCTTATTGAAGTCAGGTAATTCTGCAATATTTCCTCTAGACACCTTGACTCCAACATCACGAAGTCCAGCCACTTGTTCCCATACCTCAAGAGTAATCACCATGTTGGCTCCTTTGACTTGTGATCTAATGGTGGAACCACTAATAGTGAGATTGACATAGAAGACCCTTACAAGATCAGGTTGAATGTTGTTTGTGTACTCCACAAAAGTCTTCAGCTTTTGACTTTTCAATTGTCTTCTCAGAGGAGTAAATCCTTCTTCATCCAGCCATGCAAACCAAATGTACTTAGGAATTACAATCTATTTTTGGCTAAAATTAGTGATAAAATTGTTCATCTTTTCTACATCACCATTGAACTAGTGTTCAAGGTGACCCCCTTGATTTCCAGCAGCTGAGGAGGATTCCCCCTTTTGCCTTTTTCTACTGGATTTTGATCTTTTGAACATTTTCAACCAAAATTTCGAAGAAAATATTTGTTTGAAGAGAAGAAGGAGAATTGATTTAAAAAGATGAAGAAGAACAACCTGAATATGATGAAGATGATGAACCATTTTAAAAGAGAAATAGAGTCTCAGATTTCAAATAGAAATTGTAAAATCTGAAAGTCAGTCAATGTGGTCTGTTTGAGTTTCCAACTTTATCAAATTACAGTGTTCCCTTGACCGAATACAAAGGTACAAGTCTTGGACAGTGGGTAAGCAGAACACATAAGCTATTTTGGTCTTTTGAAGGGATAAGGTTTGACTGGGTCAACAATGTTGTTTAATGCAACAGAGAATCAAATCTTAAGATTTGTTTATTGATTTGCTACATGAAATACAAAATTGTGCAATTAAGATATACTGAAACGTCTTCCAACAATGAATTAATCAATTAATTATCAATTTAATCAATTAATTTGATTTGGATTTAATGGTTAAAAATAACATAATAGAATAATAATCAATTAAAACATAAAAGAATCGATTAATTTTGTACTAGATATGATTAGTGAAATAATACTAGAATATTAATCGATTAAAACAAGAAAGAATCGATTAATTTTGTACCTTTTAATGATTTTAACCGATGTAAATCATTTTTAATCGATTAAAATAGAGATATGGAATATTACTTGCAAAGCAGAGAACTTTTAATTGATTTAATTCATCGAATAATCAATTAAAATTGTACGGACAACTTTTCATAATTTCTTTGTAAGTGAATTTAATCGATTAAAACTATTTTATATCAATTAAAACAATCAGTTCATAAAATTGTTTCATGTTCAACATATCCTGAATACCTAATTGTTGACCAGGTACCAATAGATCTCCAGATTTCTGTTCCTGCAAAAAAAAAAAAAATTAGCACAATCCGATACCCTTTTTGAGATAATAGGGTCTATAGACCCCTAATCTTGCCCGTTCTCGCAATAAAGTTCAAAAATCCTCCATTTCAAAGATGGACAAGGCTTCATTAGGCCCCTAGTAGTGTTTTCTAGGCTCCATTTAAGAAAAGGAGGGTTTTCTTAGAAAATAAAAATTAGGAATTTTTTCAGAAGGCTAGGATGACCGTCCTAGATTTCAGATGGTCGTCCCAACCCCCTTGGTGGCCTGGGACAACCGTCCCAGATTCCAGACGGTCGTCCCAACCCCCTTGGTGGCTTTGGGAAGACCGTCCCACATCTTAGACGACCGTCTCACCCATTTTTGTAGCCTGAAACGGCTGTCCCATATTCCAGACGGCCGTCCCACCTGACAAAATCCAGGACGGTCGTCCCAGCCTCCTGGACTCACGAGCCTATAAATAGGAGCTCACTTCTCCCATTTCCACACACACTTAGCTGAGAGCTCTCTTCTCTCTCCTACTTTGAAACTTTTCTGGGCATTTTTTTCTTTGTTTCAGAGTCCGAGTAGTCTTTCCGATTATCCTTTTTGGATTAAATCGGTTAAGGAAGTCTCTTTTTGAGACTTCTGGTGCTCGGTAGTATAATAATTTTATGGTTCGTGGGAGGAGTGCTCTTGTAGAGGGAGGGGACTGCCAAAAAGTGTCCTCAATTTTTTGAGATATATAAAAACTCGCTTCGGAGGTTCCTTTTCTATTCCTTCTCTTTTATCACTTTGTTTTTATCACTTTCCTTTGTGTGAATTAGAAGTTAGGGCCATATAGATATTTAATTACTGCACATAGATAAATAAATAACGTAAAAGCATAATTTCTGTATCTTTATTTTAGAATTAATCCATGATAGGGAACCCGAAAGGGGCGTCGTGTGGTGTTAACACCTTCCCCACACATAACTAACTCCGGTTATAATGGCCAAAGTTGGTTTTCTTAAAACCAATGCCTTCTTTTTTTCTATCCTTTTCCAATGTTTATGGTTAAAACATTGGTGGCGACTCCTAAGAACCCTTTTACGAAAACCTCACTTTTAAGGGTGGCTTGGTTATCGAGCACCCTAAAAGTGATGACCACTTATTTTACGAAAACGTGAGTCACAAACCATCATGTCACGACCGATCGCCTTTTTTGGTTCCCCTCCCTTAAGAGGTTGGGGACGACGATGACAGATGCCGACTCCACTGAGGAAGCCTTGAGGGTTGATCCCATTTAGTGATGGATTAAATCAACATAAAATAAAAGATTTGAAATTATGCTTTTACCGTTTCTTGTTTGTATAATATGATTTATCTATATGGCTTTAATAACTATTGTATGATTATTTTATGCACTTGTTTGAAGTAAAAATTGCACACAACCCTTGCACACAACAGTCCCTCTATACCTGGGGGCAAGAGCGAATAACCATAGGGAGTGGGTGGCATGTACAGCCGGCCGTGGTAATGGTTTTAGTGCTAGCAGGTCGTTGTCGAAAACCAACACTCAAGGTGATAACCCTCCTCTCTCAGTCTGCAGGACGTCGACAAGGCCTTGAGCCACGCATGGTTTGAGGGTTGAGAGATCGTGGGAACCCTATAATGGAGGCACCTTGGGGACCTGGCCTTTGTGAGAATAGTTAGTACTGTAGACCCCTAATCTTGCTCGGCCTTGCAATAAAAGACCAGAAATCCTCTATTTTGAAGATGAATAAGGCTTCACAGAGCCCCTAGTAGTGTTTACTAGGCTCCATTTAGGAAAAGGAGGGTTTTCCGAGAAAATAAAAATAATTCTTTGTAAAAAAACAATGGATGGCCATCCATACAGCTTAGATGGTCGTCCAGACAACAATGGATGACCATCCATCATAAACAGATGGCCATCCACTCTAATAGACAACCATCCACTCTAACATGGACGACCATCCATCATATTCAGACGATCATCCACTCTTGTCTATAACAATGGACGGATATCCATCATAAACAGATGCCCATCCACTCTTATCTGCGGCAATGGACGACCATCCACTCTAACATGGACGATAATCCATCATAAACACACTGTCATCCATCATGTTCAGATGACAATCAACTCTTATCTGTGGCAATGGATGACCATCCATCATAAACAGACGACCATCCACTCTTACCTGTGGCAATGGACGACCATTCATCATAAACAGATGGCCATCCACTATAACATGGATGAACATCCATCATAAACAGATTGACATCCACTTTTGTGTGCAGCAATGGACGACCATCCATCATAAACGGATGACCGTCAACCCTAACATGGACGACCATCCATGCTGACAAAGCCATGGACAGTCGTCTAGGCCTACCAGACAAGTTTTCTTATAAATAGGGTCTCATTTCTCACATTTTCACACACTCTCACACCCTTCTCTCATCCTAAAAGCTCTCCTAAGACTTCGGGATAACTCTGAGCACTTTCTAGAGTTCGAGTAAGCTTTTCGATTTCCGTTTAAGGTAGAAATCGGTTAAGGAAGTCTCATTTTGAGACATTTGGCACTCGGTGGGGAGGTATTTTCTCTTTTGCTGGTGAGGAGCGTGCTTGTAGAGCGAGGGGATTGCCCAAAAAGAATCCTCAAGTTTGAAGAATTAATAGAAAGTCTGCTTCGGAGGTTCCTTTCTCTTTTCTCTCTCTTTGACTGCTTTCTTTTATTGCTTTCCTTGTATGCATTGGATATTAGGGTCTTGTAGACATTAAAATTCTGCCAATAGATAAATAAATAGGGTAAAAGCATAGTTTCTTTCAGTCTTTATTTTATGAATTAGTCCATCATAGGGAACCCGAAAGGGGCGTCGTGGGGTGTTAACACCTTCCCCACACGTAACTAACTTCCTTACCCAACTCTGGTTGTAATAACCAAAGTTGGTTTTTCTAAACCAACGCCTTCTTTTCTTCCTTTTCGGATGTTTATGGTAAAAACATTAGTGGCGACTCCATAGAACCCTTTACTAAAACCTCGCTTTTAGGTTCAGCGCGGTTATCGGACAACCTAAAAGCGTTGACCACTTTTTATGAAAATGCGAGTCATCAAAACTATCGTGTCGCTCCGATCGCTTCTTTTGACGATGGTGACAAATGGAAACTCCATTGGAAAAGCTAGAGAGTTGATCCCATTTAGTGATGGACTAATTCAAATAATAATGATTGTCGTCGCCGTCAAAAGAGGCGGTCGGAGTGACGCGATGGTTTTGTTTGACTCACAGATTTTAAAGTGTGGTTCAACGCCTTTAGGTTGTCCGATAACCGGGCTGGACCTAAAGGCGAGGTTTTCAAAAGGGTTCAAGGAGTCACCACGAATATTTTTACCAAAAACATTGGAAAAGGAAAAGAAGGCGATGGTTTTTAAGAAAAACCAACTTTGGTCATTACAACCAGAGTTAGGTAAGGGAGTTAGTTACGTGTGGGGAAGGTATTAGCTTCCCCACGACGCCCCTTTCGGGTTCCCTATGATGCACTGTTTTTTTATAGAGAAATAAGAACGTTAAAATTACGCTTTTACCCTTATTTATTCATTGCAAAAATTAAATTATTGACTACATGACCCTTAATAGCTAATGCACAAAGATTGTAAAAAGCGATAAAATAAGGGATATGAGGGAACCTTCAAAGCAAGCTTTTATAAAACATTCTCGAAAAGGGCACTTTTTGGCAAACCCCACACTCTACAAAGAAGCTCACTCTCATCTTGAAGCACTTTAGAATGCTTCCTAAGAACTCTAGAACTCTGAAAATGCTTTAGAGGGGTTTTAGGAGAGTAATTTGAGAATTATGCAGTTGGAAAAGTTGTAGAATGGTGTGAAAACGAGGTGAAGGTCCCCCCTTTTATAGGAATTCATACCTGTCAAGTCGGGACTGCCATCTCGAAATTCGGGACCTCCGTCTCACCTTTGGAAAATGGCAAGATGGCGGTCTCGCCTTTGGCAAGTGGCGAGATGGCGGTCTTGCCTTTGGCGAGTGGCGAGACGGCGGTCTCGCCCTTAGCCAATGGCGAGACGGAGGTCTCGACCTTTTGGGTGGAATTTCATATTTTTTTGTACAAAAAGTCTTCCTATTCTAATATGGGGCCTATTGATTAATCCTAGGGACCTTTTAGGCCTTGCGCATCTTTGAACGGAAGTCTTCTGCTCTTCATTTTGAGGTCGGACAAGATTTTGGGTCTACAATAAAAAAAATATCTAGAAGGCATATCCATCCTACACTAATCATTCATTTCACGGAATAAAAAAAATAAAAACCCTAATTCATATTGCATTCTAGAATGTGGTTGATCTTCTTCCTGTCCTCATTTGCGCACAAAAGCTAAGAGGATGGAGCAATTGGAGGAACAAAATTGTAAGCTCACCGATGAGCTTAATCCCATGAAGGAGCTGATAGCGCAATTTATGGAGCTAATGCGTCAACAACACCTCCACAATAAGGTATCCAAACAACAAATTGTTGCCCTAGAGGAAAGATTAAGGACTATAGAGGGACACAAGGAGGCTACCGACATGTGCCTCTACAAAAGTACTCAGTTCCCTCCCAAGTTTCAGCGAAAGAGTGGAAGGATTGCGCAACATTCCTCATCCACATCATTCAAAAAGTCCAATAAGAAGGAGGGAAGCAAGAACATCGTTAACCTTGCTACTCCTTCTTCCTCTTTGCAACCAGTCAAGCAGCCACACAAACAAGAGGGGAAATATACTCCTATTCCAAACTCCTACGGGAGTATGCTGCCATGGTTGATAACATACATCCCTCCGAAAAAGATAAATCCACCCTACCTGAGTTGGTATAGGCCAAATGAGAAATGTGATTACCACTCGGGCGCTCCTGGGCATTCGGTGGAAAACTGCTTGGCCCTGAAGTATAAGGTTCAAGAGTTGTTGGATGCAGGGTGGAACAATTTTGACACTCCTGCTCTTGATATGGACATCAAGCCTCTATCGCAACCTGCATAATGGGGTCGGATAAAGAAGACCAGCTGATTAGGGCTCCTCATAGAAGTATTATGTTTTTAAGCTTCCTACATACCTCTTGCAGTCCCCAAACATGGCCGCGAGATCTTTGATTAAAAGGGCTTTGTAAATATTTCTTTTTATCAATACAATGAGGCATTCTCATAACATTCATATTCTTTTTCATTTTTTTCCCCCTCATTATTATTTCAAAATAAATGACAATAAAATCTAAGCCTAAACATAACCGTAAATAAAAACAATCATGTCTATGATGGATGGCTCTCTATGGGATCCGAAAGTCGAAGGCAAATGTACTGAGTCAGACAATGAGGAGGGGACCATTTCCCTGGACGTGCATAGGCTGCTAAAAAAGAGAAGCTCGATCTATATGGCCCTACTAGGAAGAAACCAAGGCCATTGATTTGGGGGGCAAGAAATGACAAGCAAGAAATGAATATCGATACCCAAATCAATGATTAACGTCAGGGAAGGGTTAGTACAACTATTAAGGGAGCATATGGACGCATGTGCATGGTCTGACCAAGACATGCCAAGACTTTAGAATTCAACATCATAACTCCTCTCCCTACCAACCTAAAATGAATGGTGCAGTAGAGGCAACCTATAAGAACATCAAGAAGATCATCCGGAAGATGATCAAAACCTATAAGGATTAGGCATGAAATGTTACCCTCTGCCCTTCATAGGATATTGAACTTCTGGCATGGAGGCCATACTACCAACAGAGGTCGAGATACCTTCCCTGCAAGTTATCATTGAAGCAAACTTGATAAAAGCTGAGTGGGTCCAAAGCTGATACGACCACTTGAATCTAATTGAAGAAAAACGGTTGGACGCCATACATCATGAACAAAGCCTATCAAAAGAAGATCAAAAGGGCTTATGAAAAAAAGGTCAACCCCCATTCTTACCATGAGGGGTATTTAATGGTAAAGAAATTGTTTCCGGCCCACAAAGACAAAATTGGAAAATGGGCGGTAAATTATGAACGACCCTTTGCGGTCAAACGAGCTTCTTTGGGAGGAGCTCTTATCCTCACCTACATGTACTGAAAAGAAATTTGACACCCAGTCAACTCCAATACGGTGAAGAAGTGTTATGCTTGAAGGACATTGCTCATGACCCGCTAGGATGAAAACCCGCAAAGGGCATCCTGGGCAAAAGTTAGGGTCCACTCACCTTGCTAGGATACATCCTAGCCAGAATTTAAAGGGTTTAAAAAAAAAGGGGGGAAGAAGAGAAGAAAGAAAATTACTCTAAGAACAATGGTTGCCTTAATCGAAAACCGGAAGGCAGCTAAGGTAACATCCTTCCAGAAGTAGACAACCTTGCATAGTCTTCACTCCGAACTCGAACATCTCAACAAAAGCAACTAGGAGAACCAGGGGGGAAGATATCATAGACATGATTGTTGAAGTCCATACAGTGTAGCCAACCTAGGCTAGCCATTCTTTTAAATTCCATCTGTAATCCTTCTGCAAAAATAATAAACCTTTTATTTATACATATCAATAAAATTCTCATTCATTTCATTTCTCTTGACCAGTTTATGAAATTGCCTCTACATTGATAAATCATAAATATGTGCAGAGTCCTTTTGTCAAGATCATATCATGCATCATAAGCAGGGGAGCATTAAAAAGAAAAAATGAAAATAAAAAGGAATATTTCCTGCTAGGAGATTCTTAGGCAAAAATTAGGGCAACCTGCTAAATCGAAAACCCCAAAAGGGCAGTCTAGGAAAAAGTTAAGGCATTCATAAAAAACGAAAAAGCCCGCTAATATATCCTAGGCAAAAATTAAGGCAGCCTGCTAAATCGAAAACCTGCAAAGGGCAGTCTAGGCAAAAGATAGGGCTAAACAAAAACCATGAATAAAAGAGGAGCCCACCAGCATAATCACGAAAGAACAACAAGAGAATGTTGGTCACTTTTCTAGATGCATCTCATAAAAGAATAGATTGCATGTAGGGCATCCACACAAGTAGTTGCACAAAATGACTTTGTCAACATCAAAAACAAAAATAGAAATTGCTCCAAATAAATAATGATAATCATGCATATAAGGAGACTAGCTCCATGTTTGTGATTGAAAACAGGAAGCACCCAAAAAAAGTCTCCAAATAAAGCTCCCCTTGAAGAAAACAGAGCAAGTCGTCACCACATTACCCAAGGAAAATAAAGGGATCAAGAGAAGAAAACCCTTTATCCCCAATGGATAACCCAAAAAAGAGAAAAAAGGTCGTGGCTAAGGAAGGCCAATAAAATCCTCAAGTGCATCGTAGAAAAAGAAAAATAAAGACAAGGAATCGGAAATTCCTACCCAGC